AGGAGAGAAGGGCAGAAGGCACCTGAGTGATGAGAGGTAAGGAAGAGGAGAGGACAGGAAGTTCACAGTGAATTGCCTCAATTTTTTCTATGCAACATGAGGCAAGGTTCTCAGTTGAGAGGGTGGGAGAAGGAGACATGGGGAATTTGAGGAAGGATGAGAAGATGAGGAATAGCTGAAGTAGAGAGAGAGAGAGAGATAGTGAGTGAACAAGTAGGATTGCCTAGTAACAGTGAGGGCCCAGCTGAGGTTGTGTAACGTCAATTTGTAGCAACTCTGCCAAAACCTTTGTGTGATTTTCTCCACTTTCATTCAGCAGCACATGCATGACAGCGAAGGCAATGAATGGTGGGGGTTATTTAACGCTGAGGCTTGGCTGGGTGTAATCAGCAGGGCCATGTGTTCATGGGATACACAACATCCCAGGTAGGGAGATACAGTAGCTGAAGCCTCTACCCTCCCCCACCTGGAGGCAGTTCTTTCTTGCTCATCCTCAGAAAAGAGAGAAAGAGCTTGAGTTTCTCCACTAGAGGATCTTGCATGTACACCCAATTCTGGCTCCATAGCCAATTAAAATTAACAAATAAGAAACAGACACCTCTCCTACTCTTGCCCTCCACCCCGCCAAGAGATTCCTTCTTAGGAGTTTGCTGAAGGCTTTGAACTTCCTGTGCAAGGTTTCTCCAGTTTATCTAATGGCTTCCAAGACATCTAAATTGATCAAAATAGACAGAGGCAGAGAGAGCATTATTAAGCATTTACTATGTCAATCACTGTGTTAATCAATGGGAATTCAAAGAAAGGCAAAATCACTGTTCCTACCCTCAAGGTGCCAGGCCAAGGAGTTTATACTTTTTTGGGGGGGCAATAAGAAGCCACTGAAGACTTCTGAGTAGAGGATTGACACAATCAGAGCAGTACATTAGTAATAATATTTGAGCATCAGTGTGAAGAATGGACTACAGAGAGGTAAGAATGGAGGTAGGAAGACCAGTTAGGAGATAATAATCCAGGTAAAAGGTGATGAGAAGTTTAAATGATGTCTGTGATGGGATTGGAAAAGAGGGATATTAGAAATACTGTTGGAATTAGAATTGAGAGAATTTGGCAATCTGATCCTGGTGGCTAAGGCATTAAGGGGGGAGGAAGAGTGAAAGAAAACAGTGGCTTGCCTCTACATAGTGCTTTAAAATGTGCAAAGTTCTTTCAATACGCTTTCTCATTTAAGTCCCTCCACAATCTAAACATCTGCAGGTAGTTTTATTCCCCTTTTGCAGAAAAGGAGACTGAGACCTTAAGTTAAGTGAGTTGTCCAAGCTTACAATGATTAAATGTTGGAGATTAAGATTCAAATGCAGGGATTACTGCCTCCATTGAGAGGACTCTATTCATCTCAAACCTGAGTGACTAGGAGAACAACAGCGCCATCAACAGAAATAGACAAGGTAGGGAGAGGTTTTAGCATGTAGAAGTTTTAGATGAGTTCAGTCTGGGGCATGTTGGGGTTGACAGGCATCCTCACTGAAGACAAGCAGCAGGCTACTAGAGACTTGAGATTAGGGCTCCAGAGGCCTAAGGCACATCAGGATGGGAAAAATAGACTTGAGAATCATCCATGTGGAAATGATAATTGTAGGCAGGAGAGTAGATGAGATTGCTAAAAGAGGGAATATGGAGAGATGAGTTATGGAGCTATGGAGAGATGAATCATGGATTAAACAGATTTTTGGGAGCTGGCTTTGGCTGTTAATTAAACGTAATGTACAACAATGTTTCTATGCACAAAATGTTTTCTAAGATAGAGATCACAGAACCCAAACCACAGACTATCAGAGACAAAAGAGAACTTAGATCATCTAGTTCAAGTAAGTGATGAATTTTGGGGACACAACCTGTTTCTTAAATTTGTATTGCCTGGACCAAAAATTTCACAGAACTATGATTCCACAAAATGGTAGAGCTTGATGGGAACATGGCAGTTATCTAGTCCAACTGACCTCATTTTCAGATGAAGAAACTGAGGTTCAAGGAAAGAAGTGATTTGTCCAAGGTCATACAGCTAGTTGGTGAAAGAGCCAGGACTAGCTCAGTACCAATGTGTTTTATATCTCCAGTATAAGGATGCATAATCATAATTGCTCTTCAAAATAAGGATTCTAAGTTCATGATCAACATGGAAGTAAGAGTGCTGGTAAGGGAAACCACCTATACCAGGAGGAACGAGAGAGGAGGAAGGCATGTTAAAGGAGCTCTTAGCACAGTGCTTCAAAGTAGCGGTGCTTAATAAAATGCTTACTGACTGACTGATTGATTCCTGGGAGGCGTTTGGCAAGGGAAGGAGACCACAGGCTATCAGCCAATTCTGTGAGATCACAAGTAGGAGGGGAGATGGCAAGTGGGGGATTGGTTCTGTATAAGAAACCAGGAATGCTGAGGCACATATCTCCATAATTTCCCAGGAACTGAGCAAAGGCAGCCTGGAATCGCTCCTCCTCTGGAGAGCAGGGTGGAGTTTGTTTTTGGGAAAGACTAGATTGTTTTCTCTGCTGATAAAAATGCTCTTCTTCCCCCACTAGTCCCCCCTAGAAATGATCGAAATAGGTTTATCTACAAGTCCAGTCCAATATGACTTTGGTAGCAAAGATCCTTAAACTATATTATACACACATACATATACACATATATACACATAAACATACATGTATGTGTATCAATCATATTTACCATTTTGATAGCAGGGAGGGGCTAGAAAGCAAGAAGGGGGAGGGGAACCAAATAGGGGATTTTTGTTTTGTTTTTTTTTGGTGAGGCAATCAGGGTTAAGTGACTTGTCCAGGGTCACACAGTAAGTGTCAAGTAAGTCTGAGGCCAGGTTTGAACTCAGGTCCTCCTGACTCCAGCTGCCCCCCAAATAGGGAATTTTTGAAAGAGTGAAGTGTGCAGAACAGAAAATCTCTCCTTGGTGACTTTGCTAAGGCTTATTATCCTTTTTCTCCTCACTGGGGACAACATATAGTTTGGGGGCCAGATCTGTGATGCAAAAGAGTTTTATAAGGGCTTGAGCTCCGAGTCCTGTTTCAGTCAATAAGTAGCTGAATTGCTACAGATGCTGTGTGGACCTTAAAATAAGGGAATTGGATAAGATAGTTTTTTCAGGGCCCTCCAGTTTTTACATTGTCTGATTCTTCCACGTCAGTGAGCATTCTAGACTTCTTGTTCTCTTTCATCAATGCAGTTGTTTCCTAAATCTAGAAGTTCACAGTCTTTTATAATTTATTGCATTGAGTTGCAGAGGTCATTTGGATGAGAAATTCATCAACTTGTGGCCAGCCTAGAGACGAGGCTCTCTCCATTCATTCAGCTAGACAGATCTTCAGAGTTCTGTTCAAATCCTACTTCAGACACTCATTAGGTTTATCACCCTGGGGAAGTTACTTGATCTCACTGAGCCTCAGTTTCTTTAGCTGTAAAGTGGAGTAAATAACAGGCCCTGCCTCATAGGGTTTTTGTTAGGAACAAATGAGAAAATAAGTTTGCTGCAAAAAACCAATATCTAATTTACTGGCTGCAGTGTAGTGCACCAGAGAGTTTCAGCTCTGAAGCCTCAGGACCTGGATTTAAATTTCACTTTTAACCCTTGGGACCTATGTGATCTTGAGCAAGTCACTTTGTCCCTCTTGGCCTCAATTTCCTCATCTGTAAAAGAAGTGGGTTAGATTAGCTGACCTATGAAGTTCTTTCTAGATATCTAGGTTCAGTAAGCAGGCACACTGAGAGCACTGGCTTAGAAGTCAGAGGACCAGGGTGCTAATCCTGACTCTATTGCTTACTCAGAGTACAATGGGTAAAGTGTTGAGCCTGGAGTCAGAACCTGAGTTCAAATCCTTACTAGCTATGTGACCCTTTGTGACCAGGTCATTTAACCTGTTTGCTGCCTCCATTTCTTTATATGTTAAATGGGGATGACAGCCCCTACTTCACAGTGCTGTTGTGAGGATCAAATGAGATGATAATTGTAAAATGCTTAGCTCAATTTGCAGCACATAGTAGGCATTATATAAATGTCTATTATTATTATTAGTAATAATATTACTACCCCCCTCCTGGATCACTGTGGTGTGGCAGGGGGCTTGCATAGCAAAATAAAACTATAAGCTATGCGCGCAGTTACCCAGAGGTCATCGTGGAAAGTTTTGAGAAAAGGTGATCCACTGGAGAAGGAAATGGGAAACCACTCCAGTATCTCTGCCAAGAAAACCCTAAATGGAATCACAAAGAGTCGGACAGGACTGAAAACGACTGAACAATAACAACAAGGTAGAAGAGAGATTGGGTAAGTTCACCTTGATCAGAGGGCGAAAACAGGAACAACAGGTAGAAGTTGCATAGATCTAGGTTGACTTCCATCTGGAAAACCTTAGAATGAGACGGGTTGAGGTGAGGAAGTGAAGGTTCCCCTCACTGGGGCTCTTCCGAGGCTGTTGGTCGTTTTCAGATGGAGGTTACTTTTGGAGAAGGGGGTGACCTAGATTCATTCATTCATCAATCAAGTAGCATTTGCTAAGCACTTATTAAGCGCTAGGCACAAAAATCAAAGTCCTTCCTCTCAAGGACTGGCCACTCTATGGGGAAACACATGACTACATACATGTCGAGGAGGTATATGCCTTGGCTTGTATTAGGCACTGGGGAACCGTGAAAGAGGTGAAACATTCCTCGTCCCCGAGGCACTCACCCACACACCACCCCCACGCCAAGCCCGGGTGGAATCAAAGCGAACCAGCTCTTGCCCACGTCGCGCCACCCTCTAGCCCGGGCGGCACAGCCCCCGCGCCGCCGGGCAGCCTGTGGCCTTGGAGGTGCCCGGACCCTGGCATCTTTGGCACCGCGCCCTAGAGGCGCGGGCAGGGCCTCGCCGGGGATTGTGGGTAAGCTCTTTAAAAGATGTCCCCGCGCGCCTAGTTGGCCAGGAGCAGTCCAACCGGGCTCCTGTCTGCGCCATGCCACTGTCGCTCACCAAGCGCGGCCTTATGCTGCTGATGCGCGCCATCGGCTTCTTTATCGGCCTCTTCGGCATCGCAGCACGAGCCTTCGACTTCCCCCTGCGCCACTGCGGCTCCCGCATAACCCAGCCCACGAGCGAGCCCCTACTGCTCCTGTCAGGGGTGCAGCTAGCCAAGCTCATCCGCCGCAGGAAGGTGAGAGAGGGGCGGGGCGGCGCGAGGCGGGGCAGCGCGGAGGCGGAAAGGGGGGGAAGGGCGAGGCTGGGACTGGGCGAGGGCGGGTCGCGTACGCGCGACCCCCGCCGCCCCGGCCTTTGGGGGCTGGGCGTGAGGCGAGCCGCCGGGCCGCAAGGCTTTCTGGGAGTTGCAGTTCTCGGCCTTGGCCGAGACAGCCTCTCAAGTATCCCAGGCTCACTCTACGGGGGGCTCACTGCACGAGGGCCCACTCTACCCCCACCCTCGGAGCGAGCGCCTTACCCCACATTCGAGGCCACTCATTAGCGGGCAATGAGCCTGTTCTTGACTTCCTCGGCCTTCTCCTTTCCCTGCTTCTCCCTCTCCCCCTCCTCATTCAGGTCGCCTCCTCTTTCCCTTGCCTTTTTTCGGCGAAAACACGTTTAGCAACTCCTGTCCTTAGGTCTTGAGGTCTGAAAGTGGCCATACCAATTGCCTAGTCCATGCCTTTCCCTTAACAAAACGGGAAACTGAGGCCCACAACGGCGCAAAATGCCACACAAAGGCATAGTGAGTGGCAGAGCTGAGACCAGAACCTAGGGTCCCAAACTCTAGGACCCACCTATCTTGAAAATGTTTGGCTGCCCTCGATGATAATCTTAACTAGTTTTGCTAGTACATATAAAAATATGAATGAGGAAACAGAAGGTACATCATGTAACGGGCCTTGAATAAGTCCAGTAGAAGCAGCCCTGATGCCAAAACTGTAAGGACGCACTACACACCATGCTGAATTGGGAAATATCCACATTTTATTAAATGGTTAGTAAATATGGACTGAAGAGGCAGCTTGGTAGCTCAGTGGATAGAGGGCTGGACTTGGAGCCAGGAAGACTTAAATTCAAATCCAGCCTCAGACATGTACTGTGTGACCCTGGGCAAGTCACTTCACCTCTGTTTGCCTTAATCCACTGCAGAAGAAAATGGCAAACCACTCCCAATATCTTTGCCAAGAAAACCACATGATATGATCTACAAAGAGTCGGACTTGACTGAATGACTAAATATGGATTTAATGATTTTGTTAAAATTATTGGCCCTAGAATTGGAAGGCTCCCCCCCAAAAAAACCCTCATTTTAGTACACAAGAAAACCAAGGTCCACAGCTCTAGTGTAAGATGGCAGGGGAAGGAAGCAGCAGGGTCAGGATTCCTTTCCTTTCTCTATATGCCAGTTACCCTATGTTCCATTCTTCTAGCACCCAGCTCTCCTTCTAATGTCTGAGGAGGTTGGTCCAGTTCAATTTCATTACCATGTCTGCTAAGGAAACTGTATAAGGACTTTGAAAGAAAAGCAAAGAAAATTGTCATTACTGACTTGCTAATTATCAAAACCTGGTTCCTCTCTGGTAAATTGGTCTCAGGTAGTATGTGTGTATGTTTAACGTTTGTCAGGGGAGGAGGGAAAAGTAGCTTCCTTTTGTTTTCTCTCCTTAGGTGAGCTGGGATGGCAATTCTTTAGAATCTGTGGTGAAAAAGTAGCAGGATGCAATTGCAGTTTTTAGGCATATCAGTCCTAGAAGCAAACAGAACAAAAAACACATACACTTAGTCCCTTCCTTCCAATAGATCAAAACGAAATATGCCAAGAAGGTTCAGAAAAATCAGTCAATCTGGGAGACTTCCTTGAGGGCAAGGGGCATTTTCTTGTTATATTCCTGGTACCTGAAAGAGTGCCTTTCACTTGGCAGATACTTAACATTGTGGAATTGCATGAACTGACATGAACACAATGTTACAATGCTGCTGCTGCTGGGAGCTGTCCAGTCTCTTGGCATTATCAGTGTTTTATAGACAAGTCATTTCCCCAGTTTCCTCCTCTCCCAAATAATAGATTAAACTACACAGTTGCTGACCCCCTTTTCAGCTCTGTGATTCAGTGACCCAGCTTCACCCTTTGTTATGTTACTTTTTGGAAGTTCTTGTGAGCACAACCTTCCCGTTCGAGTCTCTCAAGTAACTCTAATTACCTTCTTTGTTTCAACATTAATGTTATATTTTGTGTTCATTTTGTATGGATTCACTTTCAGATCATCAACCTCAATCCCTCTCAGGAGGAGACTTTCACCTCCCTGGTGAAGTAGCCCAAATTCAGCTGTAGGAGGCATGACTTGGGGAGGGTTTCATTGAGGTGGCTGATCCTGTCCAGTCTACTGTGATTCTTGTTGGGTTCCATCATAAGGGTAGTTCCTCCCTAACCTCAGAGGTCTTAATGTCTTCCTGGCTTTGGACAGAGATGCCAGCATCTGTATTACTTAAATGACATAGAAATGTTAGCTCTTATTATTAACAAGAGCCTATAGCTTTCTGTTCATTGAATATACTCTAAAGCAAGGGCCTTTTGGTGTGTCCTGGGCCCCTTTGGTGGTCAGGCTGATGAAGCCTAAGGACCCTTTCTCAGAATCACATTTTTAAATACATAAAATACATATTATGACAAAGGAAACCAACTATATTGAAGTACAGTTATCAAAATTAAAAAAAAAAGCTCATAGATGCTAGGTGAAGAAATCCTGCTCAAAAATAGGCAACGATGGAGAACAATGAAGCTTGGATATGATTAATGATTTTATTAAAATCATTGGCCCTAGAGTTGAAAGGGACCCCCCAAATCCCCTTATTTTAGGAAATGAGAATACCAAGGTCCACAAATCTTGCATAAAGTTACACAGGAAGTAAGCAGGGTCAGGATTCCTTTCCCTTCTCTGTATGCCAATTACCCTATGTTCCATTCTTCTAGTCTCCAGCTCTCCTGTGTAGGAACATAAGGGGATATACATAACCCCAATAGCAAAGCGGGGATTAAACCCTGTCTTACAGCTTTCCTTGTTAGAGAGCTACAGTTGAATTCTTGAAGTGCACTGCATTCCTTAGAAAAAGTCTAAAGACTATTTTGCTGACACAAGGGATTTTGAGGCCACATTTAATCCCTTCACCATCCGCTATTCCTCAATACTTGAAATTCTGCTCCTCCATTTCACTCCCAAATTTCTTGAATGAGCGAGCTATGGATTCTTGCTGCTTCTGTTGGATTTCCAACAATCCTTTGCAATCCAGCTTCTCCCCTCACCATTCTTCTGAGAGTTGTCTTCCTACTTTTCTCAATGTTATTCTTTTTCTTTTCATCCCCTAAACATAACATGCCTCAAGGTTCATTCTTTGTTTCTCTCTTCCTCCTTCTCCCGTACTTTCATTTTTTTTTATTAAATATTTCTTGATCCCATCCAATGTGCCAGGTATTGTGCTGAACTTCACATCTTGGCATCACTGTTGGGGTGAGAGAGCTGTCTGGAGGTGGGCATGTGCTGATCAGCAGGATAGTGGGGACCTTCAGCTGTGGGAGTGATTGTGATCAGCTCTCTGAGGCTAAGGGGTGGCCTGATGACACACAGAGGGGCATCTACCTAAATTCCATTCCTGAGTACAAATGACTTTACTTCTTTGTTGTCTGCTTCTTGTCCCTCTCAACAGAAGTTGTTGACCAGCCTTCTGACTGGTTTCCCTGCCTCCCCATCTCCTACCCTCTGTACTCAATCCTATGCAGTACTGCAGTGTGAATCTTCCTACAATATCTCCTCTGTCCTGTTATTCTCCTACCTACTGAAGGACCCTCCACTGTCTCCAGAATATAGGTCAGATCCCCACCAGATGCGGACCAACTACCAGCTATGAGGCAGAAAAGCCAACCTAGCTGAACAGCAAAGGGATAGACAGGAGGCAGTGCATGCTGGCAACTCACCACCTGTACCACCTCTTCCCTCGAGTTCCAAAGGCAATATCCCACAACTGCTAGAAAGATCAGTGCTCCCCACCGACCCTGCTTCCTAGCTCAGCCCCTTAAGCGATCATCCAGGGAATCATTTTCTGTGGAGATGAGACTTGGCAATGACTTCTGTAGGTGGATCAAATGATTCACCATTACATTTGGATATGGTTTTATCAGTGGAAATGACATTCAAAATTATACGTTACCATCTGCTTTGCTGCTCTACCCCAAGAACTACTGGGACTTTCCAACTTCTAGCTGAAATCTACTACATGTGTTGTCTTTCCCATTAGAATGTGAGCTCCTTGAGATCGGGGAACTGTCTCTGGTTTGGGTTTTTTTTTGTTTTTTGTTTTTTGTTTTTTACTTTGTATCCCCAGGACTAGGTTTTTCATTTATTTTTGTCACCATACATTGATACAAGTGGCTTTCTCCACCTGAAATAACCTTTTCTTCCCATCTTGGTTTATCTCCCTTCTTTATTATGGCACTTACAGTCTACTCTATGTTATGACAATTTGGGTCCTATTTCTATACCCACTAGATGGTAAGTTCCTTTAGAATAAGAGCTGTATCTTAATCCTTCTTGTAATCCTTGGCTATGCCCATTCTGCCTCTCATAGTGCCTTGCTCAAGGTAAGTGCACCACAAATATTGATTAATGGAATCATTGATTGAAGTCTTCGCAAATATGGAATGCTACTTGCTTCTTAATGTGGGGTGTTTTTTTTTTTAATTTTGCAGGTGAAGTGTATAGATGTCATTAACACATATATTGACCGAATAAAGGAAGTGAACCCAATGATCAATGCAATTGTCAAGGATAGGTGAGTCAGAATCCCAGGACAGGCCTTTATAATTACTCATAAGCAGGTATGAACTTGCTGCAAGTGAGAGGGAATTATAATTTTTTCCAAAGTTTGTCATCTCTTAGTAACAATGATTGGGAAACAAATTCTTATCTCCATATCCCTTGGGGAAAAGGCTGGTGCTTTAGGGATTCTAGATGCTTTGGTTTCATTGTCCATGACAGCTCTCTTTTGATCAGCTATCTTCACCAACATTTCATAGCACAGCTAACAGCTAGGAAAAATGCTTTGGCAAGCAGCAGGAGGCAATCCTGCAAGGAAGGGAATGGAGCTTGCCCATCTTGGATTCCTTTCCACTGAATAACCCTTATATTCCTGTTTGGACTATCTGTCTTTCTGTGACTCAAGTTCTAAGTGACCCAAGATCCTTTCATGATTAAAAATCAAATTGCTTCTTACAAGAGTAGAGTATTTCCACTCCTATATAGAAGACATATAAACTGAGATATTGAAAAGTCCTAATCCCATGCATTTGAAATGGACTTTTTTTTTGTGCCATCACATGAAATAATGGCTTCATTGGGGTAGCAGAGTATAGTTCAGATACTCACAACAGATGCACTTTTGCTTACCAGTTTCCATATTTTTATGCTTTTCACTTAAATGAGAGTTTTTTTTCCTCCCCAGATTTGAGGCAGCTCAGCAAGAAGCTTTGGCAGTAGATAAAAGGCTGTCAGAGGAACAGGAAGATGAAGCAACACTAGAAAAGAAATGGCCCTTCTTGGGGGTCCCTTTGACTGTCAAGGAAGCCTTTGAGTTGCATGGTATCCTTTATTTTTCTCAAGGTGTATTTGGATTGAACTTATAGGTGATATATATTTCTCTGATCCTCTAGCAGAAAGGATAAACATTTATTAAGTGCCTACTATATGCCAAGCATTAATGTAGCTGAATGGCATACAAGGCAATTTGGATGGGTGGGTAGGGACTAGGAACTGGAGGAATCAAAACAGGCTTCCTGTAGGAGTTAGCTTTAAGGAAGCTAGAGTGAAGTGGGTGTACACTCCAGTTCTGAAGACCAGTACATGCAAAGGCTTGGAGATGGTCAATGCATTGACATGCACAAGGAAGAACAAGGTTTGGAGTTGCCCATTCACTTAATGGCTTGAGTTCCATTAGACTTCCTAGTTTGTTTTTTTTTTAAATCAGGCTGCTCTGTTTTTTTTTTTTTTTGAGGGGGGGCACTGGGCACATGGGCAACTGTGATCATTAGACCAACATAAGGCTGTTTTTTTTTCATATTTTACTACCTAGAATCCAAGAATCCACGAATTGAAGCCAATTTGTCCTGTCTTTGTCCTAGGAATGCCCAATTCTTCAGGCCTGGTGAACCGTCGGAATGTTGTCTCCAAATCAGATGCTATAGTAGTGGCATTGCTAAAGCAAGCTGGTGCTATTCCCCTTGGAGTGACCAACTGCAGTGAGCTTTGCATGTGGTATGAGTCCAGCAACAATGTCTATGGCAGAACCAACAACCCATATGATGTGCAGTGCATTGTAGGTGGTAGTTCAGGTGAGTTATATGATTGAGTTAGAAGGGAGGAAGTAGTATATTAAGACTATAAAGTGAAATAAGGGTCATTCAATCAATCAATAAGCATTGATCAAGCACCATAGGTGCAAATGAGAAAAAGAAAGCAGTCCCTACCCTCAAGGAGCTTGTAGTCTAATGGAGCTGAGAAATGGTCCTGTTTACCCAATTGGTCTGACTTATAAGTTAGTAGATAAAGACATAACTATAGGAAAATCTTTTCAACACAAATGTAAACTTTGAAGAGAGATCAGTTCAAGATGGTTATTTTTCTCACAAAGACTTTCTAGCTTTAGGATGAGATTCAGTCAATAAGTATTTATTTGCTACTTATTGTATATCTAGCACTATGGTTTCCTTTGTTTAAAAGGAAATTATTATGTTTTGTTTTTACATGGCCTTCCTTTCTAATTTAATATTTTATTTTTAAATTTTATTTTTTATTCTGACTTTCCAAACACAAAAAGAACATTTTCATATACAAAGTAGAATAGAAAGAGGATAATTTGTGAAAACTAGAATCTCTATGACATATAGTTTGCTTTTAAAATGTATATAACAGTGGCCCTGGAGTCCGGAGGACCTGAGTTCAAGTCCAGCCTCAGACACTTGACACTAGCTCTGTGACCCTGGGCAAGTCACTTAACCCTGATTGCCTCACCAAAAAAAAAAAAATCTAAAATGTATATAATAAATTAACCTTGTTACTTTTTACCTTTTAATTTTTCCAATAAGTAAGCATTTGTTTTCTCTCCCTCCCACCTCACCCTCACTGAAAAAGAAACAAAGAAAATACTTATGACAGAATCTTATTTACATAGTCAGGCAAACATATAACTTATAACATAGTCAAGCAAAACAAGTTCCTACATTGATGATGTCAAAAAATATATGTGTCATTCTACATCTTGACTCCATCACTGAATGATAATAATGATGATGATGATGATGATGATGATGATGATGATGATGATGATGATAGTAGCTAACATTTACATAGCATTTACTATGTGCCAGGTATTGTGCTAAGCACTTTACCAATATTATCTCATTTGTTACTCATTTCAACACTGGGAGGTAGGTGCTATTATCATCCTTATTTTAAAGATGAGGAAACTGAAGCAAACTGGTGAAGTGACTTGCCCAGAATTACACAGCTAGGAAGGATCTGAGGCTGAATTTGAACTCAAGTCTTCTCAACTCCAGGCCCAGCACTCTGTGCATTATGATGCCCCAGAGCTGCCTCATTATTTCTGTTAGGAGGTGGGCGGTATTCTTCACCATGAGTCCTCTGGAATCCTGTCTGCTCATTGCATTGATCAGAGTTTTTGTCCAAACCAAATAACAATATTTTTTTAAAGAAAAAAAAGAGGAAGAAAAAAATTTCAATCAGCAAAACCAATCAATTCCTAAAAAAAGTCTGAAATATATGCCATGTTCCACACCAGTGGCCCTCTCACCTCTGCAAAGGAATGGGGTGGAAGTGTTATTTCATATCCCTTCTTTGGGGCTATGCTTGTTCTTTGTAATTTTGCAACATTTGCTTTTGATTGTTTTGTGGTTTTTATTCTTTTCATTTACATTGTTGCAGTCATTGAGATTGTTTTCCTTGACTCTGATGACATCCTTCTGTATCAGTTCATGTAGATCTTCTCTATACACATCACATACATCATTTCTTATGCACAGTCTTAGTCTGTTACATTCATGTGCCACAGTGTGTTTAGCTATTCCCTGCATGATGGGTATCTACTTTGTTTCCAATTCTTTGCTAATACGAAAAGCGCTGCTATAAAGATTTTGGTGTGTAGGAGGACTTTCTCCTTATCAATGACCTACTTAGAGTAAATGTCTAATAATAAAATCTCTGAGTCAAAAGATGTGGACATTTTAGTCCCTTTATTTGCACAATTGCAAGTTGTTTTCCAAAACGATTGTAAAAGTTCACAGCTCCATCCACAATATACCAGTGTGCCTCTCTTCCTACAATCCTTCCAATATTTACTATTCCCATCTTTTGTCATCTTTGACAAATTGCAGGGTATGAGGTAAAACCTCAGGGTTGTTTTGGTTTTTCATTTCTCTTATTATTAGTTATTTAGAGCATTCTTTCACATGGCTGTTAATAATTGCAATTCTCTTGAGAACTGTTCATATCTTTTGACTATTTATATGTTGAAGAGTAGCTTTTGGTTAGATATATATACATGTATCCATATTTATCTATTATTTATATGAGTTGGATAACAAATCCTTATCTTTGATAAAATTGGATACAAACATATTTCCCCATTCTACCACTTCCTTTCTAAACCTAGATGAGTTAATTTTGTTTGTGCAGAAGCTTTTCAATTTCACATAATCAGAATGATCTATTTTATCTTTTGAAAAGTTCTTAAGTCTTTCAAAGTTGTTTTTAACCATTCCAGAGAAACCAGAGAAGACTTGTATAAAGTGATATAGAGTGAAATGAGCAGAACTATAACAATAAAATTGAAAGACAACTTTGAAAGACATAACAACTCTAATGCAGTAACCATTTCTTATGGCATAATCGTAATACATTACATTCATATACCATAATTTGTTTAGCCATTCTCCAATTAAGTGGGGGCCCCTTTAATTTCCAGTTCTTTGCTACTATGAAAAGAATTGCTATAAATACTTTTGTACACATGGGCCTTTTTCCTCTTTAATTGATTTCTTTGGAGTATAGGCCTAGTATCATTAAGTCAAAGGCTATGCACAATTTACTAGCTTTGGAGGAAAAATTCCAAGTTGCTTGTCAGAATGAGTTCACAAGTTCACAGCTCCACCAAAAAGTGTAATATTGTACCTGTTTTCCTTCATCACTTTTAACATTTGTCACTTTTTCCTTTTGTCAACTCTGCCATGGGTATGAAGTAGAATCTCAAATTCACTTGTTACTTTCAAGGCCATGCTGCCCTCTCTGTATTGCCCTTTGAACATGCTTCTGTTCTTTTTACATTCTAAAAAGGCTTCAATGACCTGCTTTTCATTTATCTATCTATTCATTCATTTATCTATTTATTTATCTATTTATTTAGCAGCACTATGAATAGTTCCCCCTTGCCTCCAACAGTCCTTCCCCTAAAATAAAAAAAAAGAAAATCACAATCCTTATAACAGATAAACATTGTCAAGGAAAACAAATCCACACATTTACCATGTCCAGAAATGTATGGCTTAGTCAGTAAGTGGGTAGCATGTTTCCTCATCAGTACTCTGGAGTCATGGTTGGTCATTTCATTGATCAGAGTTCTTGTATTGTTCAAAATTGTTTGTCTTTACAATATTGTTATATCTTTTGTTCAATAATTGTTCTCCTGGTTCTGCTTACTTCACTTGCATCAGTTCATGTAAGACTTCTCATGTTTTTCTGACAGCATCCTTTTCATCATTTCTTATAGCACAATAGTATTCCATCACAATCATATACTACAACCTGTTGAGCCATTCTGCAATTGATGGGCATTCCTTCAGTTTCCAATTCTTTGCCATCCTTTGCCAACCAATTCTTTGTCCTTTTCCTTTTTGATTTTTATCTCTTTTGGAATACAGACCTAATAGTGGTATTGCTAGGTCAAAGGCTATGCATGGTTTTATAGCCCTTTGGGCATAGTTCCAAATTGCTCTACAGAATGGCTGAACCAGTTCACAATTCCACCAACAATGCATTAATGTCTCATTTTTCCCACATCTCCTCCAACATTTGTCATTTTCCTTTTCTGTCCTATTAGCCACTCCAATAGATATGAGGTAGTACCTCAGAATTATTTTAATTTGCATTTCTCCAATCAATAGTGAGTTACGGTATTTTTTGTTCATACGGCTATAGGTAACTTTGATTACTTCATCTGAAAACTGATCATATCTTTTGATCATTTATTAATTGGGGAATGGATCTTATTTTCATAAATTTGACTCAGTTCTCTATATGTTTGAGAAATGAGGCTTTTATCAGAGAAACTTGCTTCAAAATTTTTTCAGTTACTATTGCTAACTGTATTTCCCTCCATCCTATTCCCTGCCCCATTTATTCTAGTCTCTCTCTCCTTTCACCCTGTCCCTCCTCAAAAGTGTTTTGCTTCTGACTACCTCCTCCCCCAATCTACCTTCCCTTCTATCACCCCCCCCCCTTCTCTTATCCTCTTCCCCACCTGCTTTCCTGTAGGGTAAGATAGATTTTGATACTCAATTGAGTGTGTATGTTATTCCCTCTTTGAGCCACTTCTGATGAGAGTAAGGTTGATTCACTCCCCCTCACCTCCCTCTTCTTCTCCTCCACTGTAAAAGCTTTTTCTTCTTTTATGTGAGATAATTCACTCTATTCTACCTCTCCCTTTATCTTTCTCCCAGTACATTCCTCTCTTACCCCTTAATTTTATTTTTTAGATATCATCCCTTCATATTCAAATCACCCCATACCATCTATCTATCTATCTATCTATCTATCTATCTATCTATCTATCTATCTATCTATCTATCTATCTATATTCCTTCTAACTACTCTAATAATGAGATGGGTCTTATGAGTTACAAATATCATCTTCCTATGTAGGAATGTAAACAGTTTAACCTTATTAAGTCCCTTATGATTTCCCTTTCCTGTTTACCTTTTTTTGTGCTTCTCTTGAGTCTTGTATTTGAAAGTCAAATTTTTGTGTTCAGTTCTGGTCTTTTCATCAAGAATGCTTGAAAGTCCTCTATCTTATTGAATGTCCATTTTTCTCCTGAAGGATTATACTCAGTTTTACTGAGTAGGTGATTCTTGATTGTAATCCTAGCTCCTTTGCCCTCCAGAATATATTCTAAGTCCTCTGATCCTTTAATGTAGAAGCTGCTAGATCTTCTGCTATCTTCACTGTGTTTCCATGATACTTGAATTTTTTCTTTCTGGCTGCTTTCAGTATTTTCTCCTTGACCTGGGAACTCTGGAATTTGGCTATAATATTCCTGGGAGTTTTCATTTTGGATTTCTTTCAGGAGGTGATTGGTGGATTCTTTCAATTTCTAATTTTCTCTCTGGTTCTAGAATATTAGGGCAGTTTTCCTTGATAATTTCTTGAAAGATGATATCTAAACTCTTTTTTTGATCATGGCTTTCAGGTAGTCTAATAATTTTTAAATGATCTCTCTTACATCTATTTTCCAGGTCAGTTGTTTTTCTAATGAGATATTTCACATTGTCTTCTATTTTTTTCATTCTTTTGATTTTGTTTTATCATTTCTTGATTTCTCATAAAGTCATTAGCTCCATTCTAATTTTTAAGGAACTATTTTCTTCAGTGAGCTTTTGGACCTCCTTATTCATTTGGCCAATTCTGCTTTTTAAAGCATTCTTCTCTTTATTGGCTCTTTGGACCTCTTTTACCATTTGGCCTAATCTGTTTTTAAGGTATTATTTTCTTCAGTATTTTTTTGTGTCTCCTTTAGCAAGCTGTTGACTCATTTTTCATGATTTTCTTGCATCACTCTCATTTCTCTTCCCAATTTTTCCTCTACCTCTTTTACTTGATTTTCAAAATTCTTTTTGAGCTCTTCCATGGCCTGAGACCAATTCATATTTTTCTTGGAGGCTTCAGACATAGGAGCCTTGACTTTGTTATTTTCTTCTGAGTCTGTGTTTTAATCTCCCTTGTCACCATAGTAACTTTCTGTAGTCAGAGTTTTTCCATTGATTTGCCCATTTCCCCAGCCTATTACTTGACTTTTAACTCTTTGTTAAAGTAAGGCTCTGCTTCCAGGGTGAAGGTGTACTGTCCTAAGCTTCCAGGGTTTTGTGAAGCTGTTTTCAGAGAAACTTCTAAGGACCTATAAGTTTTCAGTTCTTCCAAGGTGGTATGATCTAAGGAGAGGTGTTTACTACCCTCCTTGCCTTTGCTCTGGTCTATGAGCAACCACAAGCACTCTTTTCTGCCCTGGAACTGTGAGGAGGGTCCTCCCTCCACTGCTGCCACAAACTCTGCTATGCTAGTGCTCCTCCTTGCCCTGGGACTGCCACCCAGACTGGAACCCAATTCTGAGTATGGGCAAAGCAAGAGTCCTGCCTCAGTGCTAGCAAAAAGACCTCTGTAATCTCCTTCTGACCAGTTGTTTGACCCCCTTACCATCTGTGGGCTGAGAGCTCTGGAATCAGCTGCTGCTGCTGCTGATTCAGTGGCTCCCAAGGCTACTCCTGGTTTGCTGTGGCAGGGCTATGCTGGCATGGCCTGTGCTAGACTGCACGCCAATCTTACCCAGGTGTAACAGACCTTTCCTGCTGACCTTCTAAGTTGTCTTTTGTGTCTGTGGGCTGAGAGATCTGGAAACTGCCATTGCTGCTAGTGATTCAGGCTCCCAGATGCCTGCTTCAGGTTTGTTGGGCCCTGGTCTGCACTGGTGTGGCCTGGGCTTGATTGCACTCCTCTTTTACCCTGGTGCAACAAATCTTACTTGCCAACCTTCCAAGTTGTTTTGGATTGTAAATGTTTTCACTCCATCTTTTTGTGGGTTCTGCTTCTCTAGAATTTGTTTAGAGTCATTTTTTAAAGGTATTTGGAGGGGTTTAGGGGAGAGCTTAGGTGAGTCCCTGCCTTTACTCTGCCATCTTGGCTCCACCCTCCTTTCTTCATTTTTGAGCACATCTCTCCCCACTTTCCTACCTAGTGAACCATCTCTTATAACAAAGGTTAAAAAAGAAAGAACACAAAAAATCCAGCTGTCACCAGACCATCCACAGAGTCTGGCAGCATACACTAAGTTCACACCTGCAGTCCCCAGCTCCTCAATGTAGGGGGGAGGGTCATTTTCTCATCTGTTCTTTGGCACCAAGCTTAGTCACTATAATTACATACTCTCTCTATATAATTACATGCAACTCTTACCTGTGGCTCCCAGAAGCTGTAGCATGAGCAGTGGCCACACCCTGGTAAAACCCTCTCAGCAGATGGGCTAAATCAGGTTGAGGGTAACCAAAGTCCTCAAACCCATTGGTGAGTTAGGGGGATGTCTATCCCAAGCATGTAAAGACTTCCCCTTGGCAGAATGGATGGATGAGACAATTTGTTCCAACAGCCACGAAGATATCTGTTGCTGTGGAGGGCTTAGACCAGAGCTTGGTCAGATATCAACAATGCCAAGGTCATTCATTGCAACCTGGGCCATCGTAAATTGTTCTGACTTTTGTCTTGCCACTGGACTTTGATGAGTGTGACTGACAACTTTGTGCGATTTTGCAATTCACGCACGAGTCAAGGCATCACCCCATGATGTTACTGGTCCTCTTTGAAAATAAAGGACAAACAACAACCACATAATTACATAGCCCTCTATTTCTTATCTTTCCTTCTCTGTTTTATTTGCCTCCCTTCCCCCTTCAAATATTTGTTTTCTGGGAGCCCTATGGAGATCATGTGGGGGAAATTTTGGTGATATATAAAAAAAAGGTATCATTAATTATTCATTTTATATAAAATTTCAATATGTATTTATATATTTATAATATATATTTATATTTAAATTACACATTTAAATATATTTATATGTAATATATTTAAATATATTTAAATTTTATATTCATTTTAAAAACATCACATAAAAATTGAAGGACCTGAGATGTTTAGCCTAGAAAAGAGAAGATGTCCATGGTTGTGGCCTTCAAATATTTGAAGAATTATCATGTGGAAAGAGGATTAAATTTATTCTGTGTGACCTCAGAGAACCAATTGATAGAAGTTCTAGGGTGCCTACTTTTTTGATTCAATGTAAGGAAAAATTTTTAAACAATTAATTTGAGCTGCTTTCAAGTGGAATGAATTACCTCAGATAGGTAATAAGTTCTCTGTCTTTGGGAGTCTCCAGGCTAAGGCTGGATAACCATTTGTCAAAGATATTGTGGAGGGGACTTATGCTTCTGATATGGGTTTGCAGTAGTTGACCTTGAAAGTCCTTTATGATTCCAAACTTCTAGGAAATGTTTATTGGGTATATGGCATGTACAAGACACTATTCTGTGGTAGGCTAGGCTAGCTATTATAGGTTGTGGGATATTAAAAATGCTTCTGGTCCTCAAGAAGCTTCCAGTATGGCCCCTACATTCTAGTAGAGGCTGTAAGGCGTAGACACAAATAGCTATTTCTGAGGAGAGAGAGTGGAGAGGAAATTTCATCTTTTTCTTTCTGTAGGATTATTTGTATTCTTCTATGGCATATAAATTATGCAGACTATGGCAAGGCAAGTGCCTAGTGACCATACTGTTTCTACCAAATAGAGATGTTGTTCCAAATAGGATCTTGCCCAAACTTTTCCAAATATGTTTTTTCCAGGTATAGACCTGGAAGTTTCCATGTATTTACCACAAGAGATCTCCCTCTGATCCTCTCTGCTTCCTGCTAATGTTCTAGGCTTTTACCTAAAATCATAACAACTTCGTGATAGTCTGGCACCAAAGAAGGTAACTTACTAATCTTTAGTAGCCCCATTCTCCCTAGGAAATGGACATATCACTGTTCTAAAACACATGATAAGATGGGGATGATCATTTATAAGCCTTTATTTTGTATGATCCACGAGTAGATGGGTACTTCAGAATGTTTCAGTGGCTCTTACTTTGCTGCCACCAGGATCCAGTACTAGGGCTTATTTGTTTGCTTGAAGGCTTCTTTCTTGTGTTCTCAGGAGGTGAAGGCTGTGCTCTAGCTGCTGCCTGCTCAGTAATTGGTGTGGGCTCAGATATTGGTGGCAGCATCCGGATGCCAGCTTTTTTCAACGGTATTTTTGGACATAAGCCCACATCAGGTAATGTTCATTTGGGGCCGGGAGCAGGGTGGGGTGTGGGGAATGAGATCCATTGCTCTCCAGCAGGAGAACCCTGGTCATTGGGAAGATTATATTCTACTACACAAGGCTGATGTTCTCTATAACTCAGAAATATGTATAGGGTTTTGGGAGTAAAAACTTAAGTGCCATTGTAATTCTGAACCCTATAATTAGTTCTGTCTCCTCAGTACTGAGTATATACTTGCTAAGCATGTCACAATTAAAGAGTGCAGTTTTGATCTCTCAAAATTGAGCAGTACAAATGGAAGGTACAGAAAATAGGATAAAAAGTGAGATCCATGAAGAAAAATGAAAGATATTTGTGTTATTTAGCATGGAAAAGAAGGCAAAAGAATAACATCAGAAATATGGACAGTTGTCACAAGGAAGATATTGACTAAGTGCCTCCCTCCACATAGGCTTAAGTTGTAGCACCAGAAAGTTGGGTTAGGAGAAATAAGAATATTTGGGGGGAAAAAATTATCTTCCCCTGGTGACCATCCTTCTGGGAAAGATGGCCTCTTGAAGTGTGGTGGTTTGAGATCTATATTGCTTGAGGGGGAGGTGGCCATGGCAGTAGAATTGCAGGCCCTTGAAATACTGAATCAAGCAAAGGTTTGAACACTGAGATAGCTCCCTCCCCCCAAAGAAAAGCTAGTTATGTCCAGAAAGAAAATCATCTGTCTTTGACTAGGAAATGTAAACCTTTCCTGCAGAAACACAGATGTTTCTAGGGTTCCATTTCTAGACTCTGGTTGAGTCTGGACAGAGGGATGGGGACCTTCCAGTTCACCTAAAGCCCATGTTATTGTTTGCCCATTGAGTCTGTAATACTGTCCCAGATGTGCAACTACAGACTGTATATTCCTGCTCATCACCCTATTACGGAGGATTTTCTAGAAATCATGTGGCTTTTGACCACTGCTTTCTTTCTAACAGGAGATATAGCAAGTGGCTTGCAAATGAATGAGTTTCACATTATAATGGAATACCTGGCTGGGAAGAAGTTCAAGGCCATCTCATTGTTTTTCTCTTCCTCCTTTTTTATAGATTTCCCTAAAAGTTCTGTGCCTTTGACCAGACCCACTGCCCTCTTTATTCTCTCACCAAAGTGGCACTAAAATCATCCTTCTCCCTTTGATCTCACTTCAGATACAGCTGTGGTAGGCCATAGTGGCTACAATGAAGCCATTAGCTCTGCAATAAAACCTATGTGGAGAAACATGTGGACCACTGGGCTAGGAAGGAAAGGCTTTTCCATGCTAACCTCTATATTTGTGCTTTCAGGAGTGGTCTCCAATGAAGGTCAGTTTCCCGTGGCCATGGGAGCCCAGGAAGAGTTCCAGTGCACAGGCCCCATGTGTCGTTACGCCGAGGATGTAGAACCTATGCTAAGAGTCATGGCAGGACCTGGCGTCCATAAGTAACTTCTTGACATTATCCTCTACCATAGCTATTTGATACCATTTCCACTCCCTTTATATTAATAGTGCCTGGCATTCTGACAGTGCTTTAAGGGTTATAAAGTGCTTTAGATGTATCCTCTCATTTGCTCCCTGGAGCAACCCTGAGAGGTCAGTGCCATAGGAATTATTATCTTCATTTTCCAAATGAGGAAACTGAAGCTCTGAGAAGTTTTGAGACTTGTCCATGGTCACTTAGCAGTGGTGTGAGAAACCCAGGTCTCTCCTGATCCTGAGTTCAGGACTTTAGCCCTTAAGTCACACTACCTTTGAATGCCTTTGACTTAGGTCTCATATCTATAAAACAGAGGTGCTGATTCTTCACTTCTAACGAAGAAATGTTATAAGTAGTGATAAGCCATTATCTGTAAGTGCTGACCTTTTTTAGAGCTTCCTGAAAAAGGTACTATATAAAAAGCAGGCAAGTGATCCAAAATTCACTCTCCTTATATAAGAAAACTGATTAATTTCTTGGTTCTTTTAACAACCTGACTTAACAACTATGCACAGACAGCCACATTGCCCTCCTTTCCATCCTCACTGTAGCTGTTTCTGCCTGTGTTTCAACAGTTACATTCTTGGGAGCCTCCCATCTGGCTTGGGTCAATTACCATCACAAGATGGCAGGCCACTGAACCCTTCCTAGTCTTCTTTTTAGTCCTTTGGCACTACCCCCAAATCCTTCTCCATCCTGCCGTTGCTGTTTGACCCTCTTCCCTGGCCAGAATCAGCTCCAAGATACAAGTTCCTTTGTTTTCTTCTTTACTTTTTAAAGGCTGAAATTCTCATAAAGGCAAGTTATAAATTTATCAGCTACTCTAATTTGGGCAGAAAGAGGGTTCTAGCAAATGTCTGGATAGTCAAAGGCCCTCCCATCCCCACATCATCCTACTTCCATGTTGTAGTGTCCTGGAGCCAGCTCAAACTAGCTTAAAAGAGCTGATTGTTAAATTTTCAGTGTGAGTTTTTACACCATGAAAATCAGCAAATGCTACTAATCAGGGCTTAATATATTGCTTTGTTAATTGTCTAGACTTAACGAAGTGATGGAGAAAGTTAATAATGGGAATTAAACTTAAAAGTGTGTCTTGCAAACATTTTGGAGAGCTGGTTGTTAAACATTTACCAGTACACCCCTGCTTCTATGCCTAGTTTATGATTTATTTCCATAACTCCTCACCTAATTCCACTTTCTGCTCTGGTAGACTATGGCATTCTCTGATGGCAAGACAACTTTGGTTTTCACTCTGTTGACTCTCACCCAAATATTCCTGACCATGCATTCTCCCTTCCAGTTTCTGACATGAGTATGGATTAGAGAGAGAACTTAAAAGGATCTCAATTCATCTGACTCCAAATTTAGTTCTCTTTCCACTATACCATGCTATATCTGCTTCATAGGGTTTTGAGGATTAGAAGAAATGACATCTGTAAAGTGCTCTGTAACACTTAAAACAATTTAAATATCTGCTCTCACTAGTAGAAGTGATAGTGGTGGTGGTGGTGATGGTGGTAGTAGTAGTAGTAGTAGTAGTAGTAGCAGCAGTAGTAGTATTTCTTCTGTATACTCCACAGACTCTCGAAGTTGGAAGGAACCTCAGGAGGAGCCACTAGTCAAACCTGGACCTAAACAAGAATTCCTTATGTAATATCCTTGACAAATGGTCCTCTAGTCTTTACTTGAAGATCTCCCATGAAGGGAACCCTGCTCTATCTTGTAACAGCTGTAGCTCTCCTTGCTAGAAGGTTTTCCCTTAATTCTCCCTCTCTCACTTGCACCCACAGCTCACGGTTATGCTCCCTAGGATGAAGTAGAACAAGGTTCTATTCTCTTCCACATGGAAGTACTTGAAGACAACTCTTCTGGCTTCTCTGATGGTTCTCTTCTCCAGGCTAACTGTCCCCAGGTCCTTTAGCTGATCCCAGCATGGGCCTTCTTCATCCTGCTCTTCTTCTTCCTCCTCTAGATACCTGTCAGCTGCACAATACTCTTTCTCCAGTGGGGCACCCCGCCCTCCTTTAAATTGTACCAGTGAAAGGAGGGAGCAGTTAGGTGGTGAAGTAGAGTGTTGGATCAGGAGTCAAGAAGACTCATCTTCCTGAGTTCAAATCTAGCCACAGACACTGATTAGCTGTGTGACCCTGTACAAGTCACTTCACCCTGTTTGCCTCAGTTTCCTCATCTGTAAAATGAGCTGGAGAAGGAAATGGCAAAAATCCAGTACCTTTGCCAAGAAAACCCCAAATAAGGTCACAAAGAGTCAGACATGACTGGATCCTTTGTTCAGAGGCAAGACAGCCCTAGAAGAGCAGGAGGAGCCCACTAAGGGGGGAAGGAGGTTAAGCAAGAGAAGGCTGCATCCACAGGCCCTGGCTTCCTAATGGTGTGTAATACCAGTCATGTATACTTCCCCTTTGCATGAACATATTAGTTATACACAAAGGTGAGCCTCTCTGAGCTTCAGTTTCTTCCTCTGCAGAATAGGAATAATAATACCTATATTACCTACCTCCCAGGCTAGTTGTTGTAAGGTTCCAATGAGATCATGTATGGGGCAGCTAGGTGGTACAGTGGATAGAGCTCTGCCCTTGGAGTCAGTAGGACCTGAGTTCAAATCTGACCTCAGACATTTGACACTTACTAGCTATGTGACCCTGGGCAAGTCACTTAACCCTACTTGCCTCACCAAAAAGCAAAAAAAAAACAAAAACAAAAACAAAAACAAAAAAACAATGAGATCATGTAGTGACGTGCTTCATTGTTGTTCAGTCATTTAGTCACATCCAACTCTTTGTGACCCAGTATACCATAGCACACTAATGCTATCCATGGGATTTTCTTGCCAAAGATACTGGAGTGCTTTGCCATTTCCTTCTCCATTTAGTAAACCTTAAACCAAAATGGAAAGAACACCCATCTAAAGTCAGATGACCTCGGTTCAAATCCCACTTCTGCCTCTTATTATATGTGTAACTTTGGGTGGGATATTTAACCTCCATAGACCTCAGTTTCTTCATCAGTAAAAAGAGGGAGTTGGACTAGATGACCTGAAAGGTCCCTGTCAGCTCTAGAACTCAGATCCTATGATCCTATATAAATATCTGCTATTAAATTAGAGAGGGCAAGCAACATAGAAAAGTGATAGATAAAAGAATCAGTGGGAAAATGTGGTTGATTTTCAAAATTTTGCTGTATTCTTACTTATGCTCTTCCATATTTTGAAGCTCTCACTCAAGTAAAGAGTTCATCTAACCCTCAACCCACCCTGCCTCTAGTTCACATATGCTGCCTTCAGGGAGCAAGAAAAAAGTCCCAGCTGTCCAATGCCAGGTGATTTTAGGCCAGTGGAATAATCAAGAGATTCAGCGTGCTTTTTAGTCTTCATCTTTGTATGAAAAATACAATCTTTTTTTTAAAAAAAAAAAACTAGAACTTGTCTGTTTGGTAACACGGCAATATTTCCTATCTTCATTGACAAATGATGTGATCAGATTGGCTCTGTAGAGGAGGTCCTGAAGTGGAGAGAGACCACAGGCAATGAAACTGGTTAGGAACCTCAAGCACTAGTCTAGGGGATACCTAAGGGGGTCTTAGCAAGAGGCATAGTTGTGAGAGTGGAAAGGGAAGGGGATGCCACCAGAGTGAGATTGTCGAAGTACAATAACAGGGATGTGGCCACTGATTGGAGGTGGGGGGATGGCAGCCATGGAGAGGGAGATATCAAGCTTAGTTGGCTGCAAAACAAAATGCTTTAGGTGTGCCCAGCCTTCATTATTGCTTGCTCCTGTAAGGTAGTCATCTACTCAAAATTGTTAAAAATTAGAGGGGAACACTGACCCAATCCATTTTAAATTCTATTCTTGCTGCCAAGATCCCTTAATGATCTAATTTGCAGGGGCAGACAGGAACTTATTCATATACCCGAGTTTGTTGTATCTTCTGCAAGTAGATATTAGATGCCCCTGCCTTCTCTTGCCTCTCTGACTGAAGGTGCTGCCTTAACCCTAAATCCACACTTTGCTTATCTTTCTTTATTGGTGTAGGCATTACAGGTACTTTTGTGTTGGAAGAGCTCACTATATCTGAAGTCAGAAGATTCTGACAATCTTGGGAAGTATTTTATAGCTCAGTAGTTTAGGTAGCGGGAGGAGACAGAGGTAAATATTTTTCTTAATATCCCTTTCTTTTTCTTTACCTCAGATTAAAGTTAGATAAAAAGGTTCCAGCACAAAAAATAAAATTCTACTGGATGGAACATGACGGCGGCTCACTTCTAGTCTCCCGAGTGGACGAAGAACTGCTTCAGGCCCAGAAGAAAGTAAGTGGGAGCAGGATTTAGTTATTTATGATAGTCATCACCTAAGAAGTGACATACTAAACTTTATCCTTCTTTGACTGCTAGTCGGAATACTAATGGTGGACATGTGGGTAGTACTGTCCAAAGCCAAGTTGAACTGTTTAAATGCCATTTCATGTGATTATAGCAAAAGTTCTACCAAACTCATACTCTTAGCTTCAACTAAAGTATGTGTATATGTATGTGGTGGAAAGAAGTCATAGGTTCAATAGATTTAGAGCTCAGAAGGATCTTAGAAGTCATCTAGTATAACTCTTCATTTTATTTTTTTGTTTTAAAAATGTTTTATTGATATCTCTTACCTTTATGTCTTAGTCACAAATAGACATGAATAAAGGCACATCTAAATAATCAGAGAAATATGAATTGCTCACGTGTAGACGACCAAATAAAAAAAAATGACAATTCTACCTACCTAAATTACTTTACTTGTTCAGCACCATACCAATCAAAACAAAAGGATTACTCTACAGATCTGGAAAAAACATATATAACCAAATTCATCTGAAGGGACAAAAGGTCAAGACTATCAAGAAAATCAATGAAAAAATTGGGAGGGGGGGGCCTAGCTGTACCTAATCTCAAACTATACTACAAAGCCATAATCATCTAAACAATTTGGTACTGGGTAAGAAATAGAGTGGTTGATCAATGGAATCCATTAGGTTTACAATATACTGAAGTAAATAAGCACAGTAAACCTAGTGTTTGATAAACCCAAAGATCCCAGCTATCAGGGCAAGAATTCACTATTCAAGAAAAACTGGGAAAACTGGCAGAAATATATATATATATATATATATATACACACACACACACATATATGTATATGTATATGTATGTATGTATACATATATGTGTGTGTTTCTTCATCCAATTTATGCCTAGTTCTTTGCTATAATTTAAAAGGCCGCTATTAATATTTTGGTATGTATTGAACCTTTGCTTATTTCTTTGAGTTATATGTCCAGTAGTGTGATTGCCATGATAAAAGGTATGGTCAATTTAGTAATTTTTCTTTAATAATTAAAAACTGAAATCCAAAGTAGTTAGACCACTCATTTTATAGCTTCATTCAAAGTGCATCAGTGTATTTATCTTCCACAGCCCTTCCAATATTCTTTTTTTTTTATCCTTGCCAGTTTGTATAGAGTGAAGTGAAACTCCAGATTACTTTTATTTGCATTTGGAGCATGTTTTTCTGTGGTTGTAAACTTTATTTTCAAAGCAATTCATATTTTTTGATGACTTATCCTTTGGGGAATGATTTGATGTTATATATTTGTGTCAATTTCCCACAGTTTGGATGTTGTTGTTCAGTTGTTTTTTAGTCGTATCCAACTCTCCGTGACCCCATTTGAGGTTTTCTTGGCACAGATACTGGAGGGATTTGCCATTTCCTTCTCCAGCTCATTTTATAGAGGAGGAACTGAAGCAAACAGGGTTAAGTGACTTGCCCAGAGTCACATTGCTAGTGTCTGAGACTGGATTTGAACTTGGGAAAATGAGTCTTCCAGACTTCAGGTCTGGCAATCTATCCATTGCACCACCTACCTGCCCCTATATAGTTTGGATATCAGACTTTTATTAGTAATATTTTATGAAAATATTTTTTTACTCTACTGATTCTAATTCTCTCATTATTAATTTTATCTGTCCAAAATTTTTTTAATTTTATGTAGTCAAAATTATCTATTATATCTCTTGCCATCTCCTCTTTTCTTTGTTTGGTTAGGAATTCTCCTCTTAGCCCTGGTTATGACAATTGCCAGATCTCATTTTAGGTTATTTTTTTATGCTGAGAGTTCTTATATTTAAGTTGTGTATCCATTTTGAGTTTGCGGTAGTAAATGGTATAAAATTATCTAATCATAATTTCTGTGAAACTGATTTTCAGTTTTCCTAGCTGTTCTTGTCTCCCAGTAATTTATATTCTAGAGTTTACCAAATGTTGTTCCGCTGTTTTGGATTGTTTCTGTTTCTTGCTTATCTAGTCAGTTCCATTAATCCACTTCTCTCTTTTTTTTTCTTAATACCAAATTGCTTTGCTGATTATTGTTTTATAACACAGTTGAAGCTTGGTAATGCTATCTCCTTCATTCACACTTTTTTTTCTCATTGTTTCCCCTAAGATTTCAGATCAAATGCATTTTGTTATGATTTTGTCTAGTTCTAAAAAGTGTCTTCTCCTAGGTAATTTAATTGGTTTAGCACTAAATCTGTAAATTAATTTAAGTGATGTTATGGGGCAGGATATTAGTGGAACACTAGCTGGGACTATAGTGATAAAGGAAGTTGTGGTGCCAACTTGAAGAAGTTTGGGTTAACTTTGCCCTTAGATTAATTGATCTGGGATCCAGCTGTGAGCTCTTTGGGCAAGAAGAAAATAAAAGTCTTATCTCAGTCAAATCCAGTACTTGACTCTTAAGCAATTCTCCAAGACTCTAAGTTATAATTGAGTTGCTGATCTGCATTGGTTTCTAAACCAGAAGGTCCTGCATCAGTAGAATCATGGATCAATACAGATATATTGTATGAATACATATGTGTGTATATGAACATGTTTTTTAAATAGAAACTTAACTGTTGGGGCAGCTAGGTGGCGCAGTGGATAGAGCACTGGCCCTGAAGTCAGGAGGACCTGAGTTCAAATCCAGCCTCAGACCAAAGACTTCACACTTACTAGCTGTGTGACCCTGGGCAAGTCACTTAACCCCAATTGCCTAAAAAAAAAAAAAGAAACTTAACTGTCTCTGATAAGCAGGTAAACATTCAGGTATCCCTGTCGTAAGCATTATTGCTGTCTGCAGTATCTGATTGGGTGGTACCCTCTAGGAAACTGCCAAAGTATAAGGAAAAATTTGTTCTGCTGCCTTCACTTGATGATCTTGGACAGAGTGAGACCTAGATAAATCCTGAAGTTCAAGGATGAGGGTCCCCAGTTTTAAGTAGCCTGTTCAATTGGAACTAATTCTTGTATTACAAAATGAGAGCTTTAGTCAGGTAGTCAGTAAACATTTATTGAGGGCTTATTATGGCACTGTGCTAGGTGCTGGGGATACAAAAAGAGGCAAAAGACAGTCTCTGCCCTCAAGGAACTTAAAATCTAGTGGGGAGACAACATGCAAACAAATATATACAAAGTAAAGGATATACGGGATAAACAGGAAATAACTGACAGCGGGAAGGCACTGGAATTAAGAGGGGTTGGGAAAGGCTTCCTGTAGGAGGTGGAGAAAAGAGAAGAGATTGGTTAGTGTAGAGGAGGTAGCCTGGGAAAGAATTGAAGAGTTGAGGGATTGGCATTCACAGTCTGGACAAAGAGTAGTGTTTCCCTTAGGAAGGCAGAGGGTGGAAAACCAATAGATTATAGTTGGATAAGGGGATTTAAGAATTCTTGAACATGGAAGTGATACATTTGTGAATGATGACAAGATTAAGGCTATGACCATCTTTGTCTGTGATAAAGGTCATGGGAAGTGAGTTGGCTGAGGAGATGAGTAGGTTAGGGTGTTTGAGGGAGAGTCAATATGTATGTTGCAATCTTCAAGTATGAGAGCAGGGGTTGAGGAGGAGAGAAAAATTATGAACCAGGCACTGTATCCATTTTGCAGCCAAGCACTGTATCCATTGAAGAAGGAAGGGGAGTGACTTGGGGGTCTGTAGACAACAGCTACCAGGATTTTCATTGGGTGGTAGTTAGAAATAGCATGAACCTCAAAGGAGGAGAGGTTACTGAGTGATGGAGGTAGGGGGAGAACCTAGAAGTGGCAACAAAGAGGCAAGGAGCATCCCAACTCCCTTGCCTTGATCAGTGAGTCAAGGAGAGTAAGTGAAGGTACAGCCAGTATTGGAAAATGTGGCCAGGAACTCTGTGTCATTGGGAGAAGTTAGGCCTTGGTGATTGCTAACAGATGGAATAAAAGATTTAAGATGAAGGGAAGTTTATTATTGATGGAATAGGCATTCCAGAGGGCACAGTGGAAGGGCTAGGTGCATTTAGGTTTGAACTTTGGGGTAGGAGGGTTGAGGGGCATGAGAAAAAGGAATTGGATGACGGGGGGTAAGGAATGGAATTTGGATGATGATCTACAGGAGTTCATGATCACTGGAATGTGATGGGTATGACCAAAAATGAAAATGCTCATCATTGAGTGGAGGATATCATTCTTACCAAAGGAAGCTGGAGATCCAGCTGGAGGCAAGTACAACATGAAATGGGAGGGATACAGTCAGATGAGAGGCCCCATTTCACTATTCCTCTAGATTTATTTGAGCTATTGGACGAGGCTGTATGATGATGTAGTGCTAACATTCTAATTGGGGAGAAAAAACAAGTATCAATTCAGAACCTTAATGTCTTTATGGTATATTGAGGGAGTTAAGTAAGAAAAAACAAAACAAAACAGAGGTCCTGAATAAATTGGTTCTTTTCTGGGGGTTTGAAGTGGGAGAAGAGAAAGGAGGAAAAAAGGGAAAGAATACTACTATAGAGTAGAAAGGAGGAAGGAGAAGGTAGAACTTAGAATGGGGATGTTTAAGATGAAGACTATACAGACACAGAAGAAGGGGTGAGGAGAATGGATATTAGATGAGCCTTACTCTTATTTTAAGTGGACAAAGGAGAATTGAAATAGTAAAGTCAAATAAAAGGACCACTGAATCTTTTTTTTTCAAAATGCACAGAAGAAGGGGCAGAGCCAAGATGTCACAATAAAGGTAGAGATTATTTGAATTCTCCCAAATTTCCCTCCAAACAACATTAAAATAATGCCTTAAAAGGAACTAACAAAAGGATGGGATGAAATAATTTTCCAGTCCAAGACAAATTAGGTTGGCAGGAAAGGTCTTCTCACTGGGGTGAGAATAGAGCACAATCCAGCGCAGGCCCCACCCTAGCAAGCCAGCAGACTTTGAAGTTAATTGAATCTGTGGCTTCCTGAGCTATCAGCCCACAGATTATAAGGGGGTTAGATAATTGGTTAGAGGGAGGGGACCCTTTGCTGGCAATGGTAACAGAACTCAGTTGCAATGTCCATTACACAGTTCTTGGTCACAATCCCAGGAGAGAAGGAGCACTAAAACACTAGTGCCTGCAGCTGCAGTGGAGCAGCAAACTTGGTCATAGTTCCAGGGTAGAAAAGAGTGCTTGTGGTCACTCATAGACCAGAGCACAGACTAGTAGAGCAGTGACCACACCTCTCCTTACATCAATACCACCTTGGAAGAACTGAAAACTTATAGACCCTAAGAACTAGCTCTGAAAACAGCACCACAAAAAAAAAAACAAAACCCTGAAGTTTGGAGTGCTCTCTCTACCCCAGGAGCAGAGCCCAACTTTAACATAAGTTCAAAGTCAAGAAACAGGCTGGAAAAATGAGCAAATGAAAAAAAATCTGATCATAGAAAGTTACTATGGTGACAGGGAAGATCAAAACTCAAACTCAGGGGCAGCTAGGTGGCGAAGTAGATAGAGCACCAGCCCTGAAGTCAGGAGGCCCTGAGTTCAAATCTGCCCTCAGACCAAACACTTGACACTTACTAGCTGTGTAGCCCTGGGCAAGTCACTTAACCCCAATTGCCTAAAAAACAAAAACAAAAACATAAAAAAACCCTCAAGCTCAGAAGAAGACAACAAAGTCAAAACTGCTACATCCAAAGCCTCAAAGAAAAAAAATGTGAATTGGTCTCAGGCCCAAAAAGAATTCCTGGAAGAATGAAGGATTCAAAGGATTTCAAAAATGTTCAAAAATGATTTGAAAAATCAAATAAGAGAGGTAGAGGAAAAATTGGGAAAAGAAATGAGTGATTCAAGAAAATCATGAAAAAGGAGTCAATAGTTTGTTAAAGGAAGCACAAAAATACTGCACAAAATAGCACCTTAAAAATAGAATAAGACAAATGATAAAAGAGGAACAAAAATCCACTGAAGAGAAAAACTCCTTAAAAAGCAAAATTGGCCAAATAGAAAAAGATGTAAAAAAAAAAAAACTCACCAAAGAGAAGAACTTCTTAAAAAGTAGAACTGGCCAAGTAGAAAGGGAGATACAAGAAAATAATTCCTTAAAAATTAGAATTGGGCAAGTGGAAGCTAGTGACTTCATGAGACTCCAAGAAACAATAAAATAAAACCAAAATAATGAAAAAATAGTAGAAAATGGGAAATATCTCATTGGAAAAACAACTGACCTGGAAAGTAGATCCAGGAGATATAATTTAAAATTATTGGACTACCTGAAAGCCATGATTAAAAAAAAGAGCCTCACATTATATTTTAAGAAATTATCAAGAAAAACTGCCCTGATATCCTAGAGCCAGAGTGTAAAATAGTAATCAAAAGAATCCACTCATCATCTCCTGAAAGAGATCCCAAAATAAAAACTTCCAGAAATATTGCAGCCAAATTCCAGAGCTCCCAGGTCAAGAAGAAAATGTTACAAGCAGCCAGAAAGAAACAATTTCAATATCATGGAGCCGCAGTCAGGATAACACAAAATTTAGCAGCTTCTACATTAAAGGACGGAGTATGATATTCCAGAGGAAGGCAGAGGAGCTAGGATTACAACAAAGAATCATTTACCCAGTAAAACTGAATATAATCTTTCAGGGGAAAAATAGCACTCAATGAAATAGAGGATTCCTGAGCATTCCTGATGGAAAGACCAGAGCTGAATAGAAAATTTGACTTTCAAATACAAGACTCAGGAGAAGCATAAAAAGGTAAACATGAAAAAGAAATCATAAGGGATTCAATAAAATTAAACTGTTTATATCCCTACATGGGAAGATGATACTTGTAACTCCAAAGAGCTTTCTTATTATTAGGGAAGTTAGAAGGAGTATACATAGGCAGACCCTCAGGATTTCTGAACAAAACAGACACAATTCCTATTTACATTCACTCTGAGTCAATCAGGGACCCAGATGGCTCCAGAGGAGAAAGTAAGGCTGGTGACTTTGCACAGCCCTCCCTTACTTAAATCTAATTCCTTGCATGTCATGGCATCATCTTCCTGATGTCATGGTCCTCTTCAAGAATGAAGGACAAACAACAACAACAATACAGGCAGAGGGCATGGGTGTGAGTTGACTGTGGTGGGATGATACCCAAAAAAATAAAACAAAAGTAAAGGGTAAGAGAGATGACGATGATGGGATGTTATCTTAAAAAATTAAATTAAGATGTGAGAAAGAGGGATGCCCTGGGAAAAGGGGAAAGGGAGAGGTAGAATGGGGTAAATCATCTCACACAAAAGAGGTAGAAAAGAGCTTTTATAGTGCAGAGGAAGATGGGGGGGGCTAAAACACTTGAACCTTATTTTCATTGGAATTGGATCAAAGAGGAAATCTATTCTTACCCTACAGAGAAGTAGTAGGTGAAGGACACAAGAGAAGGGAGGGTGTTGCTGACAGAAGTGAGGGAAGATTGGAGGAGACAGTGGTCAGAAGCAAAATATTTTTGAGGAGAGATGGTGTCAAAGGAGAGAGAGAGAAAGATAAATAGAGAAAATAGGATGGAGGGAAATGCATAGTAATCATAACTGTGAAAAAAATTACAGCAAGTTTCTCTGATAAAGGCCTTATTTCTCAGATATATAGAAAACTGAGTCAAATTTATAAGAATACTAAGTCATTCCTTAATTGATAAATGGTCAAAGGATATGAACATGAAGTTTCAGATGAAGATCTTAAATCAATCTATAGTCATATGAAAAAATGCTCTAAGTCACTATTGATTAGAGAAATACAAATTAAAAGAACTTCAAGGTACCACCCCACACCTATCAGAATGACTAATGTGACAGATAAGGAAAATGACAAATGATGGAGAAGATGTTGGAGAGGACACTAATGCACTGTTGGTGGAGTTGTGAACCATTCTGGAGAGCAATTTGGGACTATGCCCAAAGGGCTATAAAATACTTTGACCCAGAAATATCTCTACTAGGTCTGTATCCCAAAGAGATTTAAAAAAAAAAACAAAAAAGAAAAGGACCTATATATACAAAAATGTTTATAGAAGCTCTTTTTATGGTGGCCAAGAGTTGGAAATTAAGGGAATTCCCATCAATTGGGAATAGCTGAACAAATTGCAGTGTGTGATTGTGATGGAATACTATTGTGCTATGAGAAATGACAGGCAGGATTCTCCTAGAAAAACCTGGAAAGACTTACAAAAACGGATGCAAAGTGAAATGAGAAGAGCCATGAGGCATTGTACATAGTAACAGCAGTATTGTATGATGATCAACTATGAATGACATATTCTCAGCAATACAATGACCCAAGATAATTCTGAAGGACTTATGATGAAAAAATGCTATCCATCTCCAGAGAAAGAATTGATAGATTCTGAATGCAGATCAAAACATACTTTTTTCTTTATTTTTCTTCTTTTTTTTTTTGGTCTCTTTTCTTCCACAAAGTTATTAATATGGAAATATGTTTTGCATGTCTGTACATGTATAACCTATATCAAATTCCTTGCCTTCTCAATGAGGGGGGAGGTAAGGGAGGGAGAAAATTTGGAAATCAAAATTTAAAAAACCGAATGTTAAAAATTGTTTTTACATGTAATTGGGAAAAGTAAATATTAAATATATTTTTAAAATATAAGAAATGATGAGCAAGATGATTTCAGAAAAACCTGAAAAGACTTACATGAACTGATGCAAAGTGAAGTGAGCAGAACCAGGGAAACATTATACACAGTAACAGCAATATTATACGATGATCAACTGACAATGACTTAGCTATTCTCAGCAATAATGATCCAAGACATTTCTGAAAGAGTTAAGATGAAAAATGCATTCCACCTCTAGAGAAAGAACTGATGGAGTCTGAATATAGATCAAAGCATATTACTTTTACCTTCTTTATTTTTCTTGTTTTTCTTCAGTCTGTGTTTTCTTTCATATGTTTTACAAAACTGCAAATGTTTAACTTACATTAAATTGCTTGCCTTCTCAATGAGAGGGGAGGAGTGGAAAGGAGGGAGAGAATTTGGAACTCAAAATTTTTTAAAAAATGAATATTAAAAATTGTTTTTACATATAATTGGGAATAATAAAGTATTTTAAAAATAAAATGCACAGAAAAGAATTGAAAGAAGTTCAGAAAGAAGCATAGATCAATGGGACAGTTTTGAAACTGTTTAAAACAACATGTATGAAATAGAAATTCATGGTTTTCTATGAAATCTTCTTTTTGTGTTCTGCTGTAAAACAATAACTAAAAGATAATACCTTGCTTGAAGTATATAGAAACAGTGTACTGTTTTCTATCAGATTGGGTTTCCTTGTGAATCTGAAACTTCCTCCCAAACAAACCCTCGACTCTATGCATAGCCCAGCAGGGTCTGTGTAATGACTATGGATTATTTGGAGCCATGTAAGGAGTGAAAAAAGGAGCTTTGGTCATAACCAGTTCTTACTCAACCACCTTAGCCTGGCAGCACTTCTATCATTGTCTGTTTAGCTTTCAGCCAGAATGGTAAGTTAGCCATTCATCATCCAAGAGGTATTGGTTCCTTTAGTAGGTTGAAGGATAAAAGTGAACTCACCTCCTTGGAGTCCTTGTTTGTGATCCATAGGATACTTTACTCACTTTGATATAGCCAGAGTTTTCAATTAATGAATTTTTTTTTGTTTTTATTTCTCTTTGGTTTTAGGTGGTGAGACATCTGGAGACTGTGCTAGGTGCTTCAGTTCAGCATGTAAAACTTAGACAAATGAAATACTCTTACCAGATCTGGGTCACCATGATGTCGACCAAGAACCATGATGGCATGGTATGGTGTCATGGGATTGTGGTATCATGATATGCTTTGAGGATTGTGGGTTTGCTGTGGCTGAAAATATACTCCGTTTCATGCTGTGGGTGATAGAAATGCTGATTTTTAATCCTGCAACTCATGTTTATAGTGACAAGAACTTTGGAGGAAGCCTGCTTCTTCCTTAAATCATATTTTTTTTCTTTCTACAATTCTGTTTTTAGCTCTCCGGCAAATTTTATACTAACATGAAAAGGCAGCAAATTTTCTAATATTCCTTGTTGTATGGTTTTCTGCTGTATCCCAGAGTCTCGGAATTGCAGGGTTGGCTGCAGGTTGGGAGGAAGCTGGGTAAAGGAAGCCACAGGTATTACTTTTCTCCTATAGACAAAAAGGATGGCCTGGTCACTTCTCAGGAAAAAGGGATGGTGGGGGGGCAGTTAATTTCTTCAATTATATCTCTCTCCATAGACTTTTCATTATGAGCCCTGGGAAGAGCAGCTGAGGAGATCTCCCTTACCATTTGTTTCAAAACATCATTCAAACAAGTGTTCAACTATATGTGTTTTGTTTGATAAATTCCAGGAAACAGTGAAGCTCCAGGAGCTGCTAGGAGATCATGGAAAGCCTGTTTGGCCCCTCTGGGAACTGATGAAGTGGGTCCTTGGGATGTCAACACACACCTTCCCTTCTATTGGTATATCCAGCCATCTTCTCTCACAGGGAAAGGGCAGCATACAAGAAGCCTGAGCAAATTTTTAGTCCTGAAATCCTTGAAAACTTCATTTTGCACAGGACAATTCCTTTTATGGATAAGGCCATCTGTAAATTGTGGGTATGGCTAACTTGTCAGAAAAATAGCTCTCAATCTGGGGAGTATTGCCAAAATGTTACAACTTGTAAACTAGTCATGAGGAAAAGGACTGGGTGGTAGGTACTGTCCCGGAAGAAACAGAAAGTGGATTTAGCCTATTGTATTTCTACTGGAAGCCTTTGTGATCTCATGAACCTGGAGCATTGCTTTGCTTATCCCCTCTAATACTGGCAATGATTGACCAGACTTTTGTTTAGCCACAAGCTTGCTGTTCTTCTGGCCAGTGGAACTATTACCTATTGGTAAGCCGTGTTTTCTAGTTCATGGAGTAGGATTATTAGGGCATCTGAGTTCTACTGCTAATGCTAAGCCACTTAAGATAGTGATCTGGGGGCAGCCAGATGGCACAGTGGCTAGAGCACCGGCCCTGAAGTCAGGAGGACCTGAGTTCAAATCCGACCTCAGACCAAACACTTGACACTCACTAGCTGTGTGACCCTGGGAAAGTCACTTAACCCCAATTGCCTTAAAAAAAAAAAGATAGTGATCTGAAGAAAATCACACACACATGTGTCACTCAGTCACCCATTACTGAAACCATGGCTTCATTTTTGCCTCCTCTTCCTCCCTCACTTCCCCATATCTAGTTAATCAGCAAGTCTGGACAGTTCTTTCTTCCAAATATTAAACAAATACATTTCTTCCCCATCATCACTGGCACTATCCTAGTCTAGAGTCTCATTACTGGGCGGGGGGGGGGGGCCTTCAGTTTGGGAGGCAGGGGAGTATGTTAGGTTTCTTTTTGCTGTTTTCTTTAATGATTATAGTAAATTGGTCTGCAGACAAGCCTTGTATGCTAGATATACTGTCTCCCAGAGGATCTGGGCATGAAAATGTAGCCCATGATTTGGAGCAGGGAGCTACCCTAGGACTCTTTAGCTACTAGGAAGAGACAGCAGTTTAAGCTATGCTAAGCTGATGCTCTATGAAAACTTTTGGTGGCAGAGCATCTTGACTCTGTCCTTCTTGGTGATGAGAGATGAATGACCTCCTGGGTTGTGCCATGGATATAGCAGTTAAGGGTGCTAAAAGCTAAGGAAAGGGAGAAAGCTCTCCTTCCTTAGGTGTCTAGTGTCTTTGGAAGGCTTGGATAATTCCTGTGAGGTAAAGTATGAGGAACAGAGACTGTATGTGGAAATACTGTCCCAATCAGGGGTATTAAATGTGAGTGCTATTTCTAATTTCATATTGACTTTTATTGTCACCCATAGGTCTGGGCCTGCTGGAGCCAGTTCTCAAATATGACTCTCAAACCTGTGCCAAGTATGAAGAATTAAGGTAAAACCTTTGGTCAGAGCTTGTAGGCATGCTGGGAAATGATGGGGTCTTCTTATACCCCTCCCATCCTCAAGTGGCTCCCAAGCACCACTTTCCTCTGACAAGGCCTTTCAACTTTGCTTACACAGGTGGGTTCCAGATTAGAAAGAGATGAGGTTGTCCACAGTTCATCCACAGAGCTGTCAGTCATGGGGCATTCATAGGTGCACACTATGACTGTCTTACAAAGCCAAAGTCTGCCAGCTTACCTGTTGGGTGCCTCTATTCATAACCATTCCAGTTGAATTCTAATACACCTGTGAGGCCCTTGAAGGCTTTGGGCATGTGTAGCCTGGAGAATCAATTCAGTGGGGATGTTGCACTTGTATTTGAATGACTGCCAAGAGGAGGGGGGATTCGACTTGTTCTGATAGCTCTAGAAAACAGAACCAGGAATGAGGGATGGAAGCAGCAAAGAGGTAGATTTAGGCCAGATGTCAGGAAAAACTTCCTAATAACTAGAGCCGTCCTAAGGTGGCAACTTTCAACTGCCTAAAAAGGTGATGGGCTCCTCCTCTTTGGAAGTCTTCAGGCAGAAGCTGGACAAACACTCCATGGATGTGTTAGCATAGGGTTTTCTTCTGTGTATGGGTTGGACCTACATGACCACTGACGTCCTTTCAAATTCTGTGATTTTACAAAACCACACATTCCTGCCTTCTTAATACAGTAAATTCCCAGAAAACTATCAAGATTTCCCTACTTTTTGCCCTCCCTTGCACTGATTTGCTGGAGTGATCACATTAAGGTCCTCTCCTCATCTTCAGTAAGTATTCATATGCACTAACCACAAGGTTCCCAATGGATGGAGACCCATTTGTTTCTGAGCATACCCCTCTCTCCACTCCCCTTACCAGCAAATCTTCCCTTGTCACAAAACCAGGTGGCACCCTGCCCCTGCCTGACTGCACCCACAGTCCCCTATCTTATCTCCTTGCTTCTCTTGTGCCAAGCATGGTTTCATTTCATTGGTCCATTCACCTAGTTGTCCTCATCACACAGTGATCTTTTCAGTACCATTCATTTGCAGTTTTGGAAAAACTCACACAGCCACAGTGCCAAAATAAGATAATGTGCACACAGTTAATTATGACCTTTCCTTTTGTGCTGACATGCCCTCTGAACTTAAAGAAAGCAAATGAAACAGCTACAAGTTTCTGTGAAGAAAGTAGAGTGAATGAATCTTAGAAAACAAGTGTGATTTTCAGAATGTTATTCTTCTGTTCCCTTTAGGCATCTTCAATGCCCTGGGCTTGCCTGTGACTCAGTGCCCACTTGGCCTGAATAGCAAGGGACTTCCTCTGGGTATACAGGTGGTAGCTGGTCCCTTCAATGATCACCTGACTCTGGCCATGGCTCAGTACCTGGAGAAGAGTTTTGGTGGCTGGGTCTGTCCTGGAAAGTCCTAGAATGACCTTTCCACAATTCAGATTTATATAATTTGTGGGTAACAAAGAGCTAAGAGGGATAACTAATATTCAGTTCAAAAAAGATCTTGATAAGCTTTTATAGATCAAATCTAACAGATGAATGAAATTTAATGATGGATAAAGTCCAACATCTGGATTCAAGAAATCAATGGCACAAGACAATGGAGAAAACATGACTAGACAACAATTCATGTAAGAAGAGTTGGAGGCTTTATTGGAATGTAAGCTCCACATGACCACAACAGCCCACAAACTACAAACAATCTTAGGTTGCATTGAGTCACGGGGCTTGGGGAGACATCATATTCTTTTTTGGACTCTGTCCTGGTTAAGCCATGTGGAGTGTTTTGTTCCATTTTGGCACCATATTTCAGGCAAGATGCAAATAAGCCCAAGTGTGGGGTGCAAGGAAGTAGAAATCATGTCATACAAGAGCTATTGAAGCACCTGGGAACTTTTAGCCTCTGAGTGTAGCATCTATGATCCTAACATTCTAAGGCTGTTAGGAAGCAGGAGCTAGAAATCTAATCAGCAGTTGGAGCAGGTGACTCTCAATGTTCGTTTCCTTGGAAAGTCACTTCCCCATCTCCTCTGGTTGGGCCATAGTTGTATTGACTGGAAGAATCCTATTGCTAGCACTATAGTGGATGTGACTAGAAGGGATTGGGGTTCATTTGAACTCCACTTCCCAAACAGCCCTCCAAAATTGTATTGGCTGAATGGGGGATCCTATTGCTAGCACTGTAGTGAATGCAATTAGAAGGGCCCGGGGTTCATTTGAACTCCCCTTCCTTTGCATTGTTCACATTTGGCCAATAGATCTCAATTAAAAAAAATGGCTATTCAAAGGAGAGGGGTAATTCATGAGGATTAGCAAGCAGAGTACCTTCCAAGGGAAACTCCTGGCACAGTACAAATGGCTAAATCTATTGAAAATAATTTCCACAAACTGAACATTCATTTTCAAAACTAACCTTTAACATTCATATGTACATTCCTATAAAGAAGATGGCAGTCAATCATAAATCAATGCCCTCCTCCTTCCTAGTGAGATTTTCTTCATTAGACACAAGATTCCATAGCTTTATAGCTCATAAAGCCAAAGTATGGTCTTTAAAAGATGGACAGAAGAAGAGAAAAGAACAGAGAGAAAATGGAGACTTCACAAGCCTTCAAGGTCAATGAACATAGAGGGATTTGCCCTGCAGGTCCAGTGGAGCAAAAGAGGAGAGGAGGAAGATGATTAAGGATAGCTCTTTGTGCAGAGGAGAGGAGGAAAGAGTTACTGATTGCTCCATCCTCTGGCCTGACAGGCATGATGAGAAAGAGATGGGGGTGGTGAGAGAGATGCAGCTAAGCAGTGCCCCGCAGACATAGTTAGTCAGCAAGCATTTATTAAGTACCTACTATGTGACAAGCACTCTGCAGGAGCCTCCCTTATAGTATTCTTCCCACTCCTCCTGGACACTTAGAAGCTAGTCTGACAAAAATTGCCCATTACCTCTTTGGCATCTCCCTAAACTGATTGCTGGAACTTGTAGGCAAAAACTTATCTTATGCATCCCAAGCTATTATATATGTTATATTGGATGGCAACCAACTTCATTTTGATGTGCCTCCCTTTTTCTAAGAGATTATTCTAGTTTGAATCAATAAGTTCTTTTCCTGTTAACAACAAAGTGTCTACTTCAATCTAGGTATGTGGTCTAACATTGCCTACCTTCTCAAAGTTTTATTATGTTGGTTTGAATCCTCATGGGACAGGGGAGGCAATGTGCTCCTCCCCTCCTTCCTCATTATTCCATACACCCCCAAGACTCTGCATTGCACAGAAGTTCTGTATCTCTAGGAATATATGTGAATCCTGTTTTGTTTGGTCCATGGCCTAAGAGCTTAGTGATTAAGACCATCAATAATGAGCTCCCCCTAATGCTGCAGAAAGAGCATATGAAAGATTAAGAGAGCTTAGAAAAAGATGGCTGATGATTAGTGGCCCACAAAGACTAATTAAGCACTTCCCAACCAATGCCCACCTTGCTCACGTCCAGAAGAAAAAAGGGAAAATGATGACCACATAGTTGTTGTTGTTGAGTTGTGTCTGACTCTTTGTGACCCCGTGGACCATAGCACACCAGGCCCTTCTATCCTCCACTATCTCTCAAAGTCTGTCCAAGCTCACGTTTGTTATTTCCATGACACTATCTATCCATCTCATCCTCTGTCATCCCCTTCTCCTTTGGCCTTCAATCTTTCCCTCATCAGGGTCTTTTCCAATGAGTCCCATCTTCTCATGTGGCCAAAGTATTTCAGCTTCAGCTTAAACCACATAGTTATGGGTCTATTTTTCCCTGAGTGGTGATTTGGGGTTGCCAAGTTCTGCTGTATCTAGAAAGCTGTTCTATGGCAAGATTCTTTTAAAATTGAATTAGTTGGATTTCTGAGCCCTGGGTGCTGGCTTGTTTGAGCCTTAAAAAGCTGATCATTGGATCCTGCTGGCAATTACAACCCATGAAAAGTAGTTCTTTTCAGAGTTTCAGGGCTCCCTGGTCCAGCATGCATTTTAACCACAAGTACATAGAATTTATAGCTAAAAGAGGCTTCAGAGATCATTTATTCCAGTTCCTTTGTCTTATGAATGTGGAAACTAAAGTAATATTGGACAAGTCACCTGTGTCTCGGTTTTCTTATCTATAAGATGAGGAAATTGGGCTACATGGCCTCTACTCCTTCCAGCTTAAAAGCCCACCCAGAAGGCAAGGCCAAGTTAGAACTTGGACTTGTGGCCTTCTGCTTTCTTGTCATACCTGTTGCCATACCTTCTCCCCCCAGGGCTACCTCACATTCCTCTGAAGAGGGCTGAAGTCAGTGCATTTGCTGCTTTTCCCTTTTTTAAAAAAGATTTCCTTTCTATTATCATGAACTTGACAAAATGCCAACAAAATGAACATTTTCCTATACAAAGAACGGAAAAAGAAGATTGCATATGGAGTTGTAAAGCTCCACTAGGTACAGCTTAGGAAGTTTTTGTGTACTTCAAATTTTAATTCATACCCACCAAATTGTCTTGAGCACCAATTTCCATGTACTTTCTGGGTCCAGACTGTCTTCTCACCTTGTTCCTATGTTTCACACTCAACCTTTTTCTTGTTTTTCTCAGGTTTGCCTTACTACTGTTGCTGTACCCTAGTAAATGCTTCAATCTTTTCTCCATGTAGCTCTTGTTGCTGCTTGCCTGATCTGATCTGCAGTAGGGCCATGTTCAGTGCAGACATTTCATTGCAACTCTCTCTTGGCTAAAACATGAGTTTCCAACTGTAGGTCCTAATTGGCAGATTTGCAAAACAAATGACACAAGTAAAAGCCACATTTGTTGCTCTTGAAGCACAGAGTATATCTAACAAATAGTGTTTGAGCAATTCTGTTTCCTCCTCCTCTTCATTGTTTTGATGCAAATGCAACACAACCTAATCTTCATTTGTTCTGAATCACTTGACTTTTACTTAAAAATTTTGGGTTTTTTCCATACTATAACCCTTAGAGGCAGGGTCTTAGCAGATTTAAGGAGTAAAGTCTTAACTAGCCTTTTTGGTACCTAGGGCTATCTGGGGAAGAAGAGAAGATAGTGTGTCCTGGGATAGTACTCTTGACTTCCTCTAAATTTTCCATCCTAGAGCAAAGCCCTGGCCACCCCAGTGTAGTTAAGGATCTGTCCAAGGACCTGGAGGCTCTCTCTGGCCAAATGCCATCAGAAGCCAAATTCCATTCTGCTGTCCTGGATTGCCATTTCTTGGGCCTTGGCACCTTTGTACTGCAGCTAAATTGGCACCTGTGGGCTAGTTCAAATACAAAACAAAAACAAAAACAAAAACAAGAACCAAGTCCTACTATGAAAGAAGATATTGGATTCCAGAATGCTAGCACCCAATCAGCAGCAATAAGCATTTAGTAAGCGTATACTATGTACCAGGCTCTATGCTGAGCCTTGAGGATATAAAGAAAGGGAAAAGATAGTCCCTGCCCTCAAGGAGCTCATATTCCAATGAGGAGACAACAAGCAAACAGTTAAGTTCCTAGAAGAGATAAATATATAAATACACATTCATACATATGAAAAGATGAGATTACTATCTTTTCATAGTATAGTGGTGAAAGAAAAAAGGTGATTGAAGGTCAGTTATATATAGTGATACACTATTAGGAAAAACTTAATTTTACCTCCATAAGAAAGCTTATCTACCAGGTAAAAGGCTGGTGGGAGGAAGCCACCCAAATATTGGGAAATTGAAGAGGAAAGGGATCCAGATGTCCCCAAAAATGCATGCCCAAAATTCTCTGCTATGGCAGCATAATGAATTTTCTCTTCCTTGGGTCTACTTCTGGGTTGCTCCTTCTGAATAAATTTGAAAACTAGGGTTCAGCAACAATAATACTGATCTCCATTGCTATCTCATACATGTAAAACTAAAAGGAAAAATAAATCACACCGCTTGGTTCCAGATTTGTGAATGTTTATTCAAATTGTCCCACCTTCCTGGGCTATGATTCCTCTGATCTCTCAGATCAGGCAGCACTCCAAGGAACCATGAGGATGCTTAAACATATTTCATTGGTTCCATGTTATCACCAATGTGGACTAGATTATTTTAATACTTCAATGTTTCCAGGGTCTGTGGTTGTGGCTCTTCATTACCTTAATGGACAATGTCATGAGTGGTCATAAAAAACAAATCACTACTATGTGGTTAAGCCATGATGACAGGCTTCTCCAAATTTAGCTAGAGTGATACTTGGATGACAAGCACACAGTCACTGTGTGCTGTACCATAAAAAGAAAAAAAAGAATAGAAAAAGAAGTCTTCTTAATCTCAGATCAGCAATGTCCCCCCAAAGCCAGCAAATACCATTAAATATATGACTGGAGAGGAAGTTGTATAGGGCAAAGTAAAAGGCACACAATTCTGATTCTTGAAGATTTATTCACTTTCAAAAGCCTGTTAATTAAGAAGCCTCATTAATCTCTACTCAGTAGGTGACTTTGCTTCCTGATTTGCTGAGGTCAAAGTCATCTGATATAAGTTCCCTCATTACTGCCCCCCCCATGGCTTTGTCCTTCCCATATTGTTGCTGAGTGAAGTGTAGGGTGTGTTCAGGAAAGACTAGTGCCTCTGGTGTGAGGGCTGCTGAGCCCTTTTCAAGGCTGCTTTCCATCTTTGGTGTCTATCTGCCGCCTAACTCTCACTTGTGGCTCCAAGAAGCTGTAGCATACACAGTGGCCACACCCTGGTAAACTGTTTCAGCAGATGGGCTAAACCAGTTTGAGGGTAACTGATGGACCTCAGACCCATTGGTGAGTTAGGGGGCTGTCTAACCCAAGCATATGAAGACATCCCCAGTGGAATAGGTGGATGTGAATTGTTTGTTCCAATAGACCATGAAGGCAGTGGAAACAGGCACGTTTGAATGCTTAGAGCTTGGTGAGACATTGAAGATGCCAAGGTCATCCACTGAATCCTGGGCCATTGCCTATCATCTTGACTTTTGTCTTGCCACTGGACTTTAATGACTCTGGAAGACAGAGTGAGGGTGAAGACTTTGTGCAACTCTGCCTCACTTAAATCTAACTTATGCATGAGTCAAAAGACATCACCCATACCATTTTACCATTTTTACCTACCTCAAAGTCCTGTGGTGATGAAGCAGCAGGTGCAGATACACTGGGAGCTATAGTCAGAACCCTGCACACAGGTAGCCTAAGTCATAAGGTCATCTTCTCACTGGACTAAAACAGCAGTGGGATTTGGCAGCCCCCTGGATGTCTGAGGAACTTTTTGGAAGTACTGTACTGCTCACCTCCTGGCATGAGAAAGGAGCTTAAAAAAAAGTGCCCTAAAAATTGTTTGCTTCACCCAACCTTGGTGTGCTTACCATGGCAGGTGGGGATCCTACCCTGCAGTTGAAACACACATGCAAAAAATGAAGACCTAGAGACCTTCATCATCAATGTGCTGAAAAATGACAAGCTTATAATTCTGGGTGACTTTAATGCCAGAGTAGGCACAGAATATCAAACACAGTAGGAATCCTTGGGAGGAATGGAGTCAGAAACATCAATAGCAATGGTTATTTACTACTGAAGACTTGTGCATCTCACGATCTTTTCATCACCAACACTGTCTTCCATATCTAAACAAAACAAAACTTCATGGATTCACCCTCACAGAAAACACTGGCATTTAATCTAGCACTTCTTAAACTCCATATGGGGTCATGAAAAATTTGGCAACAGTAAAAGGTTTCTGAAAGCTCAACAACTTAAAAAGTAATTAAACATCAAAGGCATAATGAATCTGAGGTATTTCTGGCAGCACTTGCCCATGTTGTATTGTGCAATTTCACTGTAGCCTTGGTTTTGAACACACAGCATGTGTACTTTGCACCGTGTATGCTCTCAGGTCATGCAACACCAATGAATGCTGCTGAAACTCAGAAAGGGATCATGAGTGGAAAAAGTTTAAGAAGCCCTGTAATAGACTATGTCATTGTAAGAAGAAGAGACAAGCAGGATGTGAGATTGATGAAGGCAATGTGCAGAATGCTGGACTGATCATAGACTCATCCT